TTTTATATATTACCTGATTTTTGAATAATGAAATTTGGTCCCTGATTTTTGAATTCCAATCTTCAAACCCTTGGAATTATGTAATTTCCTCTAAAATCAGATTAAGTGATCATGGTAACACCAAGTATAAAATTGGGTGATTATTAGCGGATTTAATCCCTAGTCACTTAATTGAGGCCCATAAAAAAGATGGATATGGAAAAAAATCTTGTAAAGCCCAACTATAACCCATTTCGGCTAAGGGTTTAGTCCCTGGTATATTACGCTGAAAATCGGGGGAGAGGGAGGCAAAGGGGGACTATTCATCAACTCTTCGAACCAATTTGTCTCGCGTTGCAAGTAGTATCGGATTTTATTAGTGTAAGTAAATACGGGCTTTATTTGTTGAAAATCGCTCTCGGTCTGATTGCGGTGAATGATTTAGTTTCAACTGAACTCCTTATAATTTATTTATTTTTCCAAATTTGCTGTTTCTTGTTGGTAATCTTCTCTAGCAACATTGATTTTTTGAAATTTTTTTTTACTTTGAAATTTAATTGCTGTGATTATTGTATACCAAGACAGAGAAAAAAAAAGAAAGAAAAGGGCAACCCTGATTCGGTGAGTGGCGGCTGGACTACTGTTTCCTCGCTCTGTTTATGTTTTTTATTTCTAGAAAAATTCAGTCTAGAAAATTTTTTCATGCCTATTTGCAATCTGTACATACTCACCGACGTATGTGCAATGTAAGATGGTTTATTTATTTATATGAATGGATTTTTTTAAATTATTTTTAACCTTTTTATTTATATATATAAAGAAAATGGGTTTACTTGGCTCTGTTTCATGTAGTGAACTGGAAGAACTTCAAATTCATGCATGAATCTTTTTGCTTAAATTAAAGAAAATGGATTATTTTTTCTTTTTGCTTAAATTGCTGTTATTCTGTATATGATTGTTGATGTGATCTCTATTGACGCATGGCAGATCTAACTTACAGGAATCTCACGTGCCAACTAAGAAAAAACAAAAAATGTCTGGGTATGTAAATCTGACTTCTTTCATAGGAAAATCATGGGCTCATGGAGGAATTAGTCTTTGTTGTGCTAACAGTTATCTGTTTTTCTCAATTTGTCGCATTGCAGTGAGGAAGCTGCTGTTGTAGAGACACCCGCTGCACCTGCTCTTGGTGAGCCGATGGACATCATGACTGCCTTGCAGCTTGTGCTGAGAAAATCGTTGGCTCATGGGGGGCTGATCCGTGGCCTTCATGAAGGTGCTAAGGTGATTGAGAAGCACGCAGCTCAGATGTGTGTGTTGGCAGAGGACTGTGACCAACCTGACTATGTCAAATTGGTTAAATCACTCTGTGCTGACCACAATGTAAACCTCATCACCGTTCCAAGTGCGAAGACCCTTGGCGAATGGGCTGGTGTAAGTAAAATTTTCCATATTCTTGGCATCATCGGCTACAACCCACACGAACAAATTTAGATATGTATGGTTAGAATCGTGCTGGGGATCACTGTTGAATGAATTATGACAACGGTTATGACGGAATATTCTCTTGAGCCTGTTGTCAACAGTATTGAGTAAAAGATATATATGCTATTATTTGACTTTAGTGTTAAATGGTGTTTTGCAGTTGTGCAAGATTGATTCCGAAGGGAAAGCAAGGAAGGTTGTGGGTGCCTCGTGCGTTGTCGTGAAGGTAGTATAACCATATAACCAGAGCCATGACTTTTGTGGTTATCAATTGATTTGATTCCCCTTTCTCAAAGTTGTGACCTTTATTTAATATCTATTTGCAGGATTATGGAGAGGAAACTGAAGGTCTCCACATCGTTCAAGAGTATGTGAAGTCCCACTAAAAGACTACTGGGAAGCAGTATCTTGTGATGAGATTTGGGAATTGCCCTTTGGACTTCTAGTTTGCTTTTCATTGCATTCCGTTTGGAGATTTTCAATTAGTTACTCTTTTCCTGCTAGTTGATTCCTAATTCTACAGCATGTTTTTACTGTCATTTGGAACATGACTGTAGATGAATTTTCGTTAGTATTTTATAGGAAAAGTTTCATATTTGGTCATTTAACTATTTCCGGGAAGGCCATACTGTGCTTCACATTTATCTAAGTTAATAAAGCCAAGTTTGGTGCACATACAATTCTAGTTTGGTTGAGTTTAAACACAAGTGTCTGAAAGGCAAATTTTTATGTGTTAAATGCACTGCAGGTCACCCAACTTTGAGTGATTACATCCAGGATTACCCAATTTTGAGTGGTTGCATTCCAATCAATCGTATTCAATTTGATACAATTAGATCGCACAGTTTTGGTTTGCTTGCAAATGTATTCATTTTGTCCAATGTCAATGGATACGATTCATATGATAATTGTTTGATGTTAAACATATCGTCAAATGTCACAACAGTTACTTTGACAATAAGTCGATATAAACAATCGTAACATGAAGTTGTCACAATTTATGAGATTACGGTAGACAAAGTTACAAATGTTTGTTACATCTTACGTGGAACTCGTGCCATTCGAATTTTATTACAATTATAAAATATAGAACGAGTTAGAATCACAATTGCTTTTTATTAAATAGCACATCCAAGATTACAACAGGACATGCGATCTACTGCAATAGAAGTCGTAACATTTCTTCGACATATCTTTTGTATACTGCAATTCTATCCATAATTTGCAAATATTTCAATTGGTGATGTTGTCGACCATTTTTTTCAAAGAGAGTAACCACTGCTCTATATTGTAGAGATGGATACATAAGGAAGAAGGCATTTTTATATATTCATCTATTAGATCTCATGTGAATTTTCTAATCTAGAAAATCTACCAAATCGATTACAATACATTCTAGAAAATATAATTTTTAATTTTTTTAGTGGACCTGATTTTTGAAATTTTGTGAAATGTTTTTCATCTCTCAAAATGTAACGTTAATTATAGAAGTTATCAAATTTTTCCTAATAAATTGCATCCATTTCATCTATATTCCAATATTTCCGATCTACCTAGAGATGGCAAAAAAAAATCGCCCCGACCCGACCCGACGGTGCCCCGCCCCATTAAAAACCGCCCCGAGCAGGTTGGCGGGGCAGGGCAAGGAGGGCCGCCCCGTCTCAGGTCGTGGGGCGGGGCAGGA